CATGCTGATGTGGCGCTACCTCTGGTCTACATTGCATGCTGATGTGGTGCTACCTCTGGTCTACATTGCATGCTGATGTGCCGCTACCTCTGGTCGACACTGCATGCTGATGTGACGCTACCTCTGGTCTACATTGCATGCTGATGTGGCACTACCACTGGTTTCCATTGCTGATGTGGCATATGCCACCTGTTTCAACTGTTGACATGGCATTGTCCACCCTGTCTACATGAGGTGACTGGTTGTGAGGAGGAGGAAGATCGTGATCTGTGGATAAAGGAGGTCGTGTACTCACCTGAGGTTGACGTCGTCACGGGAATCTGCTAATGTCTTCATGGTCTTCACGAGATAAAGTGCCATGTGGCACTATTGTGTGTGATCAGGAATAAACTTGTTATCATTGTTGACGTGGAGAGGGAAGAAGCCCGGCGAAGGAGAGCGGTCAGAAGGGATTACTGTGTGATCTTTCATCTTCTCCTTTATCTGTTCCCCCTCCACTCTCTTCTTGTGATGGTAATGCAAGGAACCCGACTGTTCGTCACTTGCTGGAGTGCATCAGATCACATGCATATTCACAGATTTCACAAATTGCGAAGTCTCACACAAACCCAATAGAAGATGAATGAGAACAAGGAAGCTCAACTCAATTATCAAACCCAGAATTAGAGAGAGAACATCATGAGTTCAAAGTGTATAGCGCTGAACAGAGTTACAAGTCTTCTTCGATCAACATGAGTTCCAAGCCTGGCGCTCATCAGCGCCAGCTGCCAAACGTCAACAACAGCGCTCGACAGGTAAATGTCACCATAGCTCACACTTCCCCCTCTCTCATCTGCCTTCTTCTCTCTCTCTCCCTCTATGTCTATAGTCCTGGTCTACTCACACTCACCACGCATGCACACTCCCTATCACATGAGGATCCACTCTGAATACTACTCACTGGTTTCTCCTACTGACTATCTGTTACACGCTGTACAGGCCCCAACCTGTTTCCCTACAGGGAAACTTCCAGGCTCTTGCCTGGAAGCTTCCTTCTGACAGGGCCTACAGGCCCCAGCCTGTTTCCCTACAGGGAAACTTCCAGGCTCTTGCCTGGAAGCTTCCTTCTGACA